GTCACATTGAATCTAAAGTCAGGAAGCAAAGAGTGGACAAGGAGTGAGGTCTCACCGTAAACCTCCAGGTCTGCTCTCTGTGACTCACTTCCTCCCCCAAGACCCCACCTTCTGAAGGTTCCACGACTTTACAAAACAGTACCACCAGCTGGGGCCCAAGTGTTCAAACATATGAGCCAATGGATGACTTTCTAAGGTTGGCCACTTACTGAATTTCTGAAGCTTGAGTCAAGGGGACAGATACTAAAGGATCTCAAAATTCATATAAGTGAAGGGTCATGCTTGGGTTTGGAGCTATGTCTGGGATTTCATTTGCCTCCAGTTTATGGCAGTGAGACTGTGTTCTGAGAGGGTAAAGCAATTGACACAGAAGGGAAGGATAGGAGCCAGCTTCTCTTATGAACTACGTGCTTGTACTTGTATGAGGTATACTTCTAAAGACTGTTGTTCACACTCATACTGCAAGGCTGATCATAGACGGCAGGCAGCACATTCCCAAGGCTGAATGGAGAACTCCACCAGGTCTGTCCCATTGTGCTCAAAATGCACCTCCCACTGGTCTATACTACTTGTTCTCTGTCTGCTTTCTATTGCTCTTATTAAACCCTGACCTAATGCAACTTGGGGAGGCAAGAGTCACAGTCCATTGAGGGAAGCCAAGGTTGGAACTCAAGGTAGGAACTGGGAGGCAGGAACTGAAACAGAGGTCACGGAAAAATGCTGTTTACTGGCTTTTCACCCATGACTTATTCAGCTGTATTTTTTTTCCCAACTCAGAACCACCTGCCAAGGAATGGCACTGCACCTGAGTGCCCCACACTGGACTGGAATCTTCCCACATCAATCAAGAACGTGTCCTACAGAATTGTTTACAGGCAACCTTATGGAGGCATTTTATCAATGAGATTGTTATCAACTGTGATTCCATTTTCTCAGGTAACTCCAGATTAAGCCAAGTGACAAAATACCAGCCAGGATTCTCAGGAAAATCATACATTTTAGGTAAGTGAATGACTTCAATATTTCTTTTATTGTCTTCTTTCTACCAGAAGAGAACCTCAGCCATATGTTAATCTGTTTTTGTATGCCTTTTAAACCTTTTATTCTTTTAATAACAATAGCCTAGCATAGATTATTTGCACGTGTAATTCATATGATGGCATAATAAGATGGTTTAATAGTAATGCCATTCATGAAGAGTGTATTGAATGAAGATGCACAGAGTGTCAGCTCCCAATGTTTCTTCTTAATGGATGAATCCACTGCCACTGAGATTCCAGAGGATTTTCTTTTTAATAAATAGAAGTTAGATAGCCTGTTCATTATTCTAGCTGAGTGACAGGGAACACAGGTGTGGTGCATAGAAACAGCTGGTAAAAAGATAGCCAGAGGCCTCACAGTGAGCAGAGGCACATGTTTAAAGCATGAGAATAGTCAGCTGTGCAGTGTAACTTCCACTTCTTTAGAAATATTGCAGACAGCATGTAGAGTCAGACTGAGCAAGTGGCCTGAGCAGACAGGATTTTATGGATAGCAGTACAGAGCTCAGGGTGCTGTGTTAGCAGACTAGCCCAGAACAGTTATAACTTCCACATAAGCCACAGCTGAATGGCCACTTTCAGTATAAAATGTTGCTGTGATTTGACTATGTTCTAAGAAACTTCATGGACTGGAAACTTAATCTTCAAATTAATTTGTTGGTGGTGCTTAGAGAAGGTGTTTTAGGGAGATAACTAGGGTTGGATAAGGTCATGAGAATGGAGAATCTGTGGTGGGACCAATGGTTTTATAAGAGGAGGAGAGGAGAGATGAGGGAAGAGGCTGCCTGGGACTAATCATGTGATGACCTTGTCACATGAGGACACAATAAGAAGGCCCATCATCTGAACTTGGCACCTTCACCTTAGACTTGCTGGCCTCCTAAACAATGAGAAATTTAAAATGGATTGATGAATGGGGGACTGCAATGGGAGGATTAGGTCAGGAGGGAGAGGGAAGAAGGAGATGAGGGAGGGAATATAAAGAAAAGCAGCTAAAATTAAGGGCCATTTGAGGGGGTAGTATGGAAACTTAATACAATAGAACCTACATAGAATATATACAGATATAAAGGTAACCTAACTGAAATAGCCAAATAACTGGGAGACAGAGCCCCAATTGGCCATATCTTGTCACCAAATGAAGCTTTCAGTACCAGTATTGGGTTATATCCAGTTGGGTTGATGGCCAAAGGGGTCCCATGGGAACCCCCAAACAACATAGGCTGTTGATTTTCAAAAACTGACCTTTAGCAAGGTCCCATTGCTAAAGATTCATTGGACATGGAGAATTAGAGCTAGTGCCTACATAGAGCTTTCATTCCTACATTCTAGTATCTTTGGTACAGGAAGGTACTTTGCATACTACCAATGGAGAAACATAAATGCCAAACCAGCCACAAACTATTTGATCTTCAATGGTGTCCTGCCTGTAAGATATACTAGTGCAATGTTGACACAAACTTGTGGGAGTAACCAACCAATGTCTGATTTGACTTAAGGCCCACTCCATGAGATGGAACCCATACCTGACATTGCTTTGGTGACCAAGAACATGAGACTAGACAGCCCATGGACTTAGGGTAAAACCAAATGCTACTGAAAAACAAACAACACAAACAAAAAAGTAGCAATAAAATAACTCCTAACTACATTCTGTTGTACTCATAGATGATAGCCTTGTACAGCCATCATCAGAGAAGCTTCCTCCTGAAGCAGATGAGAACAAATATAGAGACCCACAGCTAGACTTTAAGCAGAGAGTGAGAAACCTTGGAACATTAAGCCCTAAATGGGATGTCTGCATCGAACCCCTATCCTTGGGGCTCGGGGAAACCTGTGGAAGAAGAGACAGGAAGCATGTAAGAGCCGAGGGAGATGGAGAACACCAAGAAAACAAGTCCCTATAAAGCAACATGATCCACAGCTCACATGCACTCACAGAGACTGAGGCAGCATGCACAGGGCCTGCATGGATATGCACCAGATGGGGTTCTAGAGCTTAAAGGAGAAGTAGACACATGAAAAACTATCCCCAACTGATAACTGTTTGCAAATGAAAATGTAGCATTCTTCTAGGAAGTCTCACTGGGGAAACTATATTCTTAACTATATTCTTATATATTCTCAAGGATAGGCTGCATGCCCAGAAGTAGATGACCAATAGAAAATGAACTCAATGGCATATTTGGGTGTTCCCTATCTTATTGTGTGCCAGGACTCACTCTTTCTTTTTCTTATTTTTAAAATAAATTTTGTCTTATTTTTTATTTTGTTGATATTTTTCTCTTAGAAATCATGTACTCCCTGAGCCCACCTTCAGGAATTCAGCTCTAGTAGCTTTGTCATCACTAGTTACCAAATACCCTTGAAAAGGTCCCCTCTATCACATACTCCGGTTCTTTTGCTCTGTCTGTCTGTCTGTCTGTCTGTCTGTCTGTCTGTCTGTCTGTCTCTCTCTCTCTCTCTCTCTCTCTCTCTCTTTTGTTCCTCCTCCAAGATATCCCTTAACTGCCCCCCCCAATAAATCTCTTGCATGAGATCTGTTGCGTGGTGTGATCTCTGTAGCATTTCTTGGCCTCAAACAGCCAAGGTATTCCCACCACTTCATTCTAACAGTTACCTCTTACTAACCCCACTTACTAATTAAAATATTTTATATGGATGACAAGAACTATCTTAGAAAATAGTTAAGTTTGACAAGGAAACATAATTTGAACACACAGCTCTGCTTTCCTTATATTCACAGACAGGTCCTATAGAATTATGACCGTGTTTTCTTAAAAGTTGATTATATTTCCTGGTCTCTTTTCTATTCATTTTATGACCCAGTCTCTTTTGGAGCCTGGGCTCCTTGTTCTGTATCCCAAAAGGCTATGGATAGTTTTCATGAGCACTTTCCCGCTAAGCCCAGTAGCTCTGTGACAAACCTGCCACTGGCACATCTACCTTGTGTTGTCATTAGATTCCCTTGATTTCATCTACACTATTGATTGCAATTGACTGGAGGCAAGACCACATCTCATTCATCATGAAAACTCCTGGGGTCTACATGCCTAATTTAAGATTAGTATTTAATGAGTATTTTTAAAGTGAATGAGTGCAGTTAATAAATATTATCTATGGGATGTGATGTTCTTTGTCAAATGGAAAACAATACCCGTTAAAATCATAAATGGCAGACTCTTGGGTGTTATGCTGTTTGCAGCTTTGGATAAACCAGGCCTGTTCATATTTAATCTCCTTATCATTGCCATAGCCTGACTTTTGGTACTGTCTGGCTCTCTGCTGCTATTGCCTGAGCTGGAGAGGGTGGGCCATGTCCTGCCATTGCTCTTCTCTCTCTTCTACTTACACAAGGAAGGGACTTGTCTGCCATATTCCTTATTCTTATTACCAATTGTAAAAATTAGCACCTTAGGAGAGATGTTACCCCTCATACCTGGGGCTTTCTATCATATAGAAGTGCTTGCAAACCTCTATAGAATATTAAGTGTCCTTTCTGGGTGTAGTCCTGGGATACACACGTTGGGTTCTCACTCACCATCCATCACTCATAGCAAACTGATTTACTGAGTCATGACCTGTGCTCAAATCTACAGCACTGAAGCCAGGATAATTAACAGACACAGTGACTTGCAATTTAATTTTATCTATCATTTTTCTTACAGTTAGTTTCTTGGATCAAATGTGGAATCAGAAAAATTCACTGATGTATTTGAGGATTTTCTATTAGATGTAAATTGTAACTCCCAACAGGAACATTTCCTCTTTAGTGTACATAACCTGTTGTAGTGGCTGGACCATGTCAGTGGTCATTCATGGTCTAGAAGCATCTTAAAATGATTCTCATTTCAACACTGTGGGAGCAAGCTCCATCTCCTACTCTCTCCTTTCGCACATAAGCTGCCATGAATGAGTGTGCAGTGTGTGAGTGTACAGTGTGTGAGTGTGAAAACATACCCACTAGTGGAGTCCAGAAATCCAGTGACACCAGAGAGTTGGGGCCAGTTGAGCTCGTCAGTCAGGGCTGATGGCAAGTTAAAGAAGGATTTCTAAAGGAAAGAAATAATAAAGTAGTAATTAGCAAATGGTCACTTGTTTTGTGATGGTGCTGAGAACAACCACAGCATAAGCCTGGTTTTCCCTATGTCTATCTTCTTGAGCCTTTAAAGAAGATGGCTCATCTTTCACTGTCACCTGAGAATTCACAATAGTCAGAATCACTGGCTTAATTATTCCTGTGATGCAAGAGTAATACATGGAGTCTCACACAATGGAGAGGGATGTGTTGGGACAAGCAAACTCCAATTCTGAAGTATTCTGAGATCTCCATCTTTCAGTTGAGAACATCAAGCAATTGACTGCTTAGAAAATAATTGTCCTGAGAAATAATACTGAAAGTCAAGCAAGAATGCCCCTAGTCAACAAGGTGGGGCCTCTGACCCTGCAAGTCTGAAGCACTTCTGAGAATCAGACTGTGGTTTCTTTCCCCATAAATATGCAGGTATATCCACTATGAACTACTGTGGGAACTGAAAACAAAATGTTCTGCCTTTTCCATCAGAGGGATAAATAAGACAAAACTCCACTTTAAAAATTATACAGAAACCACTCAACAAATTCCTCTAGGGTCAGCACATTTTGAAATCAAAATATGTGCTCAAGATTGCATTCCATTCTCAAAAGTTGTTCTTGGCTTATCATCTGCACCTCTTTGAATTGACCAATCACACTAGAGTGTGAGGTCAAGCTCTGACCACTCAGAGTGAGGCACAGAACTTTTGTGCATTAGGAATAAAAGCCTGGTGGATTTGATGCTGTGTGTTTGCCTGCTTGATTTGGCCTGGCCACACACCCTTCAGCAAAAATAAAACTTTTCCCTTGCAAGAATTCTTTGGATTTGTGGTCATTTTCTTTGGGTCCTACGATCTGTTCTAACACTATCATCTCTGAAGATTTGCATACCTGCTGAAGTGTGACTATGGTGTGTAACCTCTGAAACTCCTATTAAAATTTAACCCCCAGTGTGAGGCATCCAGAGAACAAACATAACTGGACATTTAGAGAAAGAGTTTTGAGGAGGAAATTAGGGTTAGATAAGGCCACTAGGGTAGAAGTCCATGATTTAATGCTGTCATCTTTATAAGTAGAGGCACACATACATATGTTCAGTCACCATGTGATGTTTTATGTTTCACTGCCAGCATGGGGACATTACTACATGTAACCCCAAGACCTTGAACCTGCAGAACCAGAAGCTAAAGCAAACTTCTTTAGAGTTTACCTCATCTGTAGTGTATCATCATTAGCAATGGAAAACTGACCTATCTCCCCTTTTGACTATTGCAAATGTTTAGAGCCTGAGGCCTGGATCGTTATTGCAGGAATGTTCATTTCAGTCACAGTTCTATGGCTGGTATGAACTTGTGGAAGAAAACCGTGCTCAGCTATGACTGCTTATTGCTCCTTTAAAAAATGTCTACTAAGACAAATCCTTCTAGGGTCCTAATTTCTCAAAGAGGCTTACCTAAACAGATGTGTTGGGAAGCCCTCTATTATGTTGATTGATTTGTCAAAATTAGCTACACAACTAACAGGTGTTCAGGTACAGCCATGATCCTCCCGTCTTGCTTTGAATCTTTCCCCGTATCCTGATTTTTGCCTCAGGGTGGTTTCTAGCACAGGGGGCTGAAGAGGGAGGGCATGGCCAGGAAGGATGTCTTCCTGAGGTATACCTGCACTGACTGGGAGTTACCTCCTTCAGAGGAACAGAAATGAATTCTTTGAAAAGAGGCTCCTAGAATATCTCAGAGGATCATGAATCCATGACTGACACTTTGTCACCCTTGGTGCTTCCCACTCACATGTTCTGCTCTAAACTTCTCTCCTACCAGGACTTCACTACTTCACACTATGGCTTCTATCCCTTCTACCACTGTGGGGCAAGCCTTCCTCTGTCTGCTTTGCTTTCCCCATATATCTTTTTGCTTATAATGTATGTTTGCTATAGGATTTGAGAATATTCAATTCTGCTAGAGAAGGCAAGGAAAGCAAATAGAACGGGTAAAACTCATAAGCCATATTAAGCAGATAGATGAGTAAGCAAATGACTTGTGAGATGTAGGCAGTGTTTATGAGCTGGTTCCCTGTAAGATGTGATAAAAGTTAAATGAAGGGGAGAGCATTCCTCCCCGTCCCCCCCTCCACTCTCACCCTTTTCTCACCCTTTTCTCTGTCCATAAAATGGAGACTCTGACTTGGAAACCAAGATGGAACCAGATTTTGTGGTCTGGTGGGGCTGCTCTTTCTTCTATAGTAAGGAATGGGACAAGAACTCATCTAACATGGGTAGACCTGCCTAGTACTCTGTCTTACAATAATAGTGGAGGAAAGGGACATTCTGAACAATGCTAGCAAGGGAATCATTTTCACTATGGGAATCAAATTGCTGTCCAGCTCTACAAGGGCAACACACTCTATGATTTCAATACAGCACCTTGAGACAAGGCTTCCATACTCTATGTAGCCACTATTCTGTCAAGTGATGAGGGAAGAGGACATGTTGAGTGTGGGACAGGTGGGGGAAAAGGCAGTTATTAGTGTCTTTGGAGTTGTGATCTTCAAGCCCCCAGCATTCCTTCAACTCATTTCTCTAGAGAACTGGGACTCATTTCTTTGGGTAGTTCCTGAAATCCTTGCTAGCATCCAGGAAACCCAAGCTGCTCTGGCGCCATCTCTGTTAATTAGCATTTAAGCTGTGGACAGCAGCTGGTGCTGAACTGCAGCTGAGGCCCGAGTGAGTTTGCATTTCCATGGCTGGCCCTGAAAGGCTTGGGCAGACCAGATGCATACATTTAACCCCAGTGATTTGGATAACTTCAAAATAGCACAGAGCTGTATTTCCCTCATTGAATGTTTTAGATTTCACTCATGGTATTTTGGCAAAACCTGACATTTCTGGAAGAAGCTTTTCAGGGAAGGCAGAATTCTAGCCCTTCCTTGGTTTCAGTGTTGTCTGGCTCAGCGGGGCTTTGGGAAAGATCTGAAGACAGTGAGGAATGGGGTAGCCAGTTGGGAGACCTACACAGCACAGAGCATGTGCTTAGGATGGACCACCCGTTTCTAAGAGGATTGTCCCGGGATTCGAAGAATGAGTTTATTGTCAGAAAACAGAAATGACTTGAGTAGTCCCACAGCAAGGTCCACAGATCCCCACCCCCACCTCCCTTAGTAAAGTTGGTAAATAAAAATGAAAAGCAACAGCCATTAATAACAAATGTATGGAAATCCTTAACAGGAGATCATATTAAACACTAAAAGCCACGTTCATGCAACATTATACCAAAGGCATTTCCAGCAGGAGAAACGAAAATGAAGATTTCCCTCACCAACTCCTGCTTATTCCTCTTAAGCATTCATGTTCTCAAAAGTCTCCTAAATGTATCTTAAATGCGCAAACGTGGAAAGACTATATTTGCCAAGAAAAAATTCCAGTTAAAAGAATTTGTGCTGCTAGGCGAGGTTCAAGCTGAGGCGAGGGTCAGGCTAGTTCATTGCTTTGAGTTTTCCTCTGGGTTTTCCAATGACATGATTGAATTTATGTGTCATATTTGACATATTTATACTACTTTTTGTAGCAGTTTCATTTAAGGTTGTTCTCTCTGTGTGTTTTAATATATTGAGAAGATCACTGTTTATTTATTTTAATAACAAGGAAGAAAATATAATAATTTGAATTCATGACTAGTTTTTAGAGAGTAACTTTTACTTGTTCTTTGATAATTTCATAAATATATACAATATATCTTCATAGTCTCCAACCCATTCACCCCTGATATATGACTTTTTGAAGCCATCATCTCACCAATCTGGTATTGGGTTCCTCTGAGGCTTTGTTAACTGAGAGAAAGAACAATGACATCAACCACAGGTCATCTGGCTCAGTCTTCCAACAACAAAGGGAATTCTATGGTAGCATTGGGTTTGTTCTCTCTATCCTGCAAGACTGTAGGCAATTTTCACAGAGCATTTTCTTTCATACACAACTGGCTTAGACCTGAACTGATTATTTTCAGACAGTACAAATGTCAAATGAAGATATATGTGGGTAACCATTATCAGAAAACAATATGAAAAATTTCAGTTAAATAAGCCATTTATATTCAACGACCAGGAATTGAACTGTTGAAGACTATAACCAGGAATTGTTGGTTTAGAAAGAAAGAAATAGCTGTTGAGTTTGTTCCTCAAGGCTGAAGAATCAGAAACAAAAAGTCTGTTGGGATGTAGATGTCCCGGATCCATTAGCCTGAAGTTCCTTCATCATACCATAGATGGTGCATGTGAGCTTCTTTTTAAAAGGCTTTTCAGTTCTTGAGTATCACCTTATTGCCAGCTGACTGTTAAGTCCTCTATCTGTGTCATTACCCAAATGTCTTTTCTTACACAAACATCAAATTATCCAACTTAAAATGCTCCTTTCACTTTCTCACACACTTCCCTACCCTGGTCCCATTCCTTTAGGCTTTGCTATATGAATGCATTCTGTAACCAAAAGGTATCCCTTGGTGAGTATGCTAGAATGTGCTGTTTTCTGGATGGTGTTTGTTTTTCAGACAGAGTAAGTAACTAACACGGATTTCTCTTACATGCCAGGTATGGACACAGGGAACATGCACAAGTTGTTTAACTTAATAACAGAACACCATGGAGCAAAATTTTCTCTCCCTCTTTTTCTTCTTCCTTCCTTTTTTTTTTTTGCCATCTCCTAGAACTCATCAGGATCTGTTGGTGCATAGCTGTAACCCAGGCACAAGGACCGTGAGTTTGAGTGAAACAGAGAAGGCAGATAACTTTGTGAACACACCATCATGTGTCCAGTGCCCAATATCCCCTTCTGGAAAGGAGCCTAGACATCACCTTCAACCAAACAGCAGTGCATTGATGTCCAGGGAGAAGTGTGGGAATGGTCCCTTTCTACCCTGCATCCTACGGCTGCTTGTGTGGTCCTTGGAGGATTTCTATATCTTTTTTTGGCAGAAAGATCCCTTGT